TCCGAGTGCAGGCATCTTCAGTCTTCTTCAGCAAGCCCCAGAAGCTCACCAGCCTGGAAGGACTGTGATGAGACTCCGGCTGACCCCGGCTGTTGAGGCAGTCGGGGAAAGCCCGCAAGCGGATAGTCAGACTTACAATGCCCTGTCTGCCGGCACACCGGCCACGGCTTGGTGGGGGGTTGGGGGTTTGGGCATTGGTGGGCCCAATGTCCGTCCTTACTGCACTTAAAACAAGTGCCCAGCGGGGCTGCACCCCGTTTTGTGCGAGGACCTCTCGGCCCCTCCCCCGCAGGGCCACTTCTGTTGTAACCTGGACTGTCGGGCTGATTCTGCCATTTCCTCCAGTTTTTACCAGATCCTGTAAGGGGGCTTGTGGTCCCTCCTCTGCCTTTTTAAATTTATTTCTTATATCCGGACCTGACTGAGAGGTAAAGTGGGAGGCCAAGACAGCCGTCCCCGGCAAGGGTCTTGTGGTCCAGTTTTTAAACTGGGTGAGGGCTTCCTGGAGGCGGTTTAGGAAAAGGGCAGGATTTTCATCCTTGCACTGTGTTACCTCTTTAAGTTTTTCAAAATTGGCTACCTTGTTAGACGCCGTTTTCATCCCTTGTAGTAGGCACCGTACTAGCAAGTCCCGGCAGTGGCTAGCCCCTGCTCCAGGCTTATAACTCCACCCCGGGTCCTCGGCATCAATGACCGTCTGGCCCACCGGCACAGTATTGTCTACCAGGTGGGTCTGATCCACACACTGCCTAGCTGCAAGGTAGAAAGACTCTTTCCTTTTCATCAGGCGTTAAGGTGGAGGCTGGTATAACGTATATATCATGGCAGGTAAGATCATATGCCTGAGCTACATATCGAAACTCCTTAATGTAATTACTAGAGTTAGCAGAGAATGAGCCCAGGCACATTTCGGTTTGGGACAGGTCTTGGAGAGAAAACGGAGCATGGACTCGTACCACCCCCTCCGCCCCTGCTGGTTCCCTAGGTGGCAGGAGGTGGGAACGAGTCTGTGCTGACATGGGAGAGAAGATAGGGGAAACAGGGTGGCAAAACGGGTGGGACCAGAGCAGAGGGCTGGGCATAGGTGGCAGAGGCTGGGAAGGAGGAGAAGGATTAGGAATCGGTCGAGGCAGGAGCCCAAGAGTGTCTGGCTCTTCAGTAAGCACAGAGGACGGTGCTCGTGTATGGTAGGGAGAGTCGGGGTTATTTTCAAGTTTTGATTTCACCGCCATGCTCCTTTCAGTTGATTTAGTTATAAGGACCCGTGAAGTGGAACACTGGACGCATAGGCATGGGCGGGCTCGGAGATCCCAGAAAGCCTGAACGTGCAGAACCTCCGACCATTTTCCTGAACGTCGGCAAAAATTGTCCAAGTCAGTGAGAATGCCAAAATTGAAAGTACCCTCGGAGGGCCACCTAGATTGGTTGTCTAGGGGGTATTGAGGCCACTCGGTGGTACACAGAAAGACTAGCTTTTTGCAGAGGCTTTGGGAAAATCCCAGTTTGGAGAAATTTAGGAGGAGACAGCCCAAGGGGGGTCTTAGGATTAGTTTTGGACTCCGTATTTCCCATGATGCCCTGACACCCCAGATAGTTATCCCCCAAGACAAGGCATCCCCTGTGTTAGCGGAAACTCTAAACAGAGGTGGTCCCCTGCTGGTGAGATGTCTCCCAGGTCACAGGGTCCCCAATGGAAGCGGAAAGCCGTCCCTGGCACGGCCGCAACACAGGACAGGTAGGCTCGGATGAGAAGTGGCGGGGTAGGACTTACCAGAGTCCAAAACTGATCAAGCTGTTCTCAACTGCCGAGGTTCGGTTTTAGAAGAGTCCCTTGGTGGGGGGTGGGGGGGGTGCGGTCCTTATCCCCGGTTTCGGCCCCAATGTAAGGTGGCAGAGACCAAATCAGTCG